AGAGTCTCCAGGACAGTATTCAGGAACATCACAGTCTGTTTTGACAGCTCTGCATAGTGTGCCTTGTTTCTTGAACTAAAAACAAACGAAATTTCTTGAGTTATACTGAAATCAACTGTATACACTCTCGAACACTCAACGAAATAATCAATTCAATTCAATTCAATTCAATTTTTATTCAATAATTTAAATTAAAAAATGCAAATTACATATACAGACTGCAAATAGTTTAATGACTAATCGAGGCAGTCTGTATAGATACTTAATAAATAAATTGACAATAAATATGTTTATGTAGATACAATAAATAGATAAATAAATACTAATAAGACCAAGTCAATAAGCAAACAAATATATAGACGAGCACACACATCACACCACGCGCATAAGGACACATTTCAAATTGTGATTTTTTTTAATTTTAAAATAATCAAACCAGCTAAGTAATTAATCAATCAATACGGGCATTTTGCATGAAACGGTCACGTGGAACTAAATCCGCCATCCTGGATGGCAAAATACCCACTGGGATGTTCAAAACAAAGGAAATTCAAGCTTGACGGGCTGCGTTCCTTTTGTTTTTGAGGTTGTTTACATTCTTTTGCCATCCAACATGGCGGATTTAGTACAATGTTTCCGTTTCATGCAAAAGGCCTCTTATTCAGGTAATCCATCAAACAACCCTCCTGCCCACCCGCCGTACCACACAAAAACGGCCTCCAAATGAGAGCCATAGTGCAGCTCTTTTCTGTATTCTCTCCTTTAATACAAGAGAGAAAGTTCGATGCAGTGTACCTGACAATCTTTACAACAGGAGTGATGAAGGTCACTGCACGTAGCTGAGGTTTTCAGTCGGCAATCATGTGGCAGGCAACAAGAATCTTTTTCTCTACACATCTAGTCGAGAAAGTAGAAAAGAGGGTGAGATATCAAGAAAAACGAAAAACTAAGCCTTGATTTAGAGCTGAAACCACATCAAGAGGAAAGAAACACGTTTCTTACTTATATTTATATCAATATATGTCATTAATCAGCTAGTCAAATGCTTATCCTATGCAATTGACCGATCCCGATTCATTGTCCTACTTCCTTAGTTACTGTTGCTACGTCGGACAAGCGAAGATATTCCTTTGATATGGAAAATATACCGATTGCTGCGATGTTTTTTTTACATTTTCATCAGGAAATATCAATTAAGTAAAAATATTCGATTTTATGTCGTTGCTCGGACAGTTTCAATTCCACTGGGAAAATTGCTCGTTGTTTGGTGATCAAGGGAAGAAGGATCGGGGAATTCCATCTATTACCTCTGGTGTTCCACAATCGCACTCTTCGTCGCCTTCACGTATGCCATTACCACAGTAAGAATTGATTGCCTGTAACAAGATATTGACATTGATTGAGCACAAAATTAAGACAACGACTTACAAACGAACAGATCATTAGGAGACATACACGAGCACGATGGCAGGTAAGACAGGGAGACAATTTGAAAGACACAGAAAACTGTTTTTTTTTTTGTTGTTTTTTTTTTTGTGGTTAAATAAAAATATTTCAGCAAAGTTAAACTTTGTTACGTTCTTCTAGCAGCTTACGTATGCATACCGGCTTCGCGCGCCTTTACCACGATGAAGTCGCGGCTATGACTGATAGCCTGTCACGCAACATTTTAGCGTATAATGTATTGGGGTAATATGCATGCCATCTACGCTTTACGCTACATCGCAAGTCGCTGAGCTTTTTGAAAGTGTTTTTTTCCCACACTCCCTCATCCTAGGTAAGTATACACAATATCCCAACTGATTTGTCAGTGTGGAGGTGCTAGCTGTGTGGGGTGGGTCAGTGTTGCCATGGTTACCATCGAATTAAGCCCGCCATGGTTACCACGGTTACCAAGGCTTGCCATTGCATTCGCCCCAACCTCCCACCTACAAACCAGTGCCAAGCTCATCTACTGGGGATAAGTTTCAAACCAACATTCAGGCAGATTTAATGAAATGAAAAAATAACAACCAGTCGACTTGCATGGGCAGGCAAATGATGTTTTTATGGAGACACAAATGAGAAACAAAGAAAATCTAACATAATTGGTTCACCTTGGTTGGCACATTGTATAAACACCTGTCGTTGATACTTTTCAAAGCGTTGAGACTGCAATTCGTGAAGCCAACGATCTTTGGACTGAAATGTATAGTACCAAATAAATATGTTGGCCTTCTTTTGACAAGGTTTAAGTAATATATAAAATATGAGCGGGAGACCTTTATGTGATATTTAAAAAACGAGTAGGAGTGTTTTGACTTTAACATGAAATAAATAAAAAAAATATCAAAAATGAATAATTGATGAAGATAGCTCCATCTGAGCATGAGCAGTAATCAACTTAGTTTCCAACATCCAAGCGCCACTATGTTTTAGTGTACTATCATCTATAACTCTGCAATAAGTACATTTCAACTCAAAACCTAATGAAGTTCTATGATGAGAGTCTAAATCTGAGAAGTTTTCTAGTGTTGGGCAGAAATCGAGTGTCTGTAAATCAGTTACAACACTGATGTTTTATGCATGGGTGTTATAACTAACTGAACCGGTTAGTTATAAAACTCATGTTTAATTAATCAGTATGTATAGCTTGAGTCATAGGTACTGTCATGTGACCCATAGTTGAATGCTCATTGGAAGAATGTTTAATGAATTATTCATTAGTTTTAGAATGGCACTTAAAACTGCGAGCTGCAAGCGATGAATCTGGATGTGGTAAACAAAGTTGATTACTGCTCATGCTCAGATGGAGATATTTTCATCAATTATTCATTTTTGATATTTTTTAATTTATTTCATGTTTATTATAGTTTATTAGATATAAATACCTGGCCTACTCGTTTTTTTAAATATCACATAAAGGTCGGACGCGAATATTTTATATTGCTTATCAAATTCCAACATAAGGTAACACTTGTAACACTTTCTTATTATATGTGAATTTTTTTTATGAATTCGGCATTTCACTAATCGAGAGTTGGTGGCTTTTACCCACGCCGAACAAAACCAAAAACCTCAAAACTAGACGAACTTCGAATTCAACAAAAGCCTGGGAGCTCATATCTGAGCTCTCAATTTTTTATATGAAGTCTGAATTATTTTTAAAGAAGGTTTATAGCATGCCGTACAATTAATCTATTTGCAAAACAGAAAACGAAAGAGAGAGAGAGAGAGAGAGAGAGAGAGAGAGAGAGAGAGAGAGAGAGAGAAAAGGAATATCAACATCAGCGACAACAACGGTAACAACAGCAGCAACAGCTGAACAAAATCAACAAAAACAATTGAACAAAAATCAACGACAACAGCGACAACAACAACAGTAGAACCAACAAATAGACATTAACAGCAACACATCAACAACATCAGCAGCAACAACAGAAACAGCAACGGCAACAACAACAAAAACAGCATCAACAACAACAGCAGAATTAAAAACGACAGCAAGAATACTAACAACAACATCAGGAATTAGCCATTTTTATGTTATGAAATGAATTGTAATTTCTGTCATATTGAGCCAATCGAAAAACTAACCATATCACTAAAAAGACTTTATCGACTTTAGTGTAGGTTACAAGTTACAGATCATTTGGACAAATTTTCAATTAATGAGAAGCCGTGCAATTTACAGAGAATGTATGGGGATTTTGACCGCGTCCCCCAAAACCGATACATTCTCTGTTAATTTGATGAAACTAGAAATAAATACTGTTTAGCTAGTTTTTATCCAAACGTTTTGAAACTTGGTATATTTACTAATTTGTGTGTGTCCTTTCATCTGGTGGGGTTTGTTTTGTGATTAGATCAATATTTCTTTGATTAGTGCCCAGTCCCTGCGCAACGTCGAAATGGCTAATAATAAACCGACAACCAAACCAAACAAAAGAGAACATATGATATAGCTTGGAGTTTACAAGGATAATGCGAAATTTTACCTTGGATAATATTGCATCATGCATCCTTTCGGTGAATAACAATAGCACCGTTCTGCGAAGGAAAAGAACAAAATGAAAAGAGTTCTGTTCAAAAAAGATAAAAAAACGAATATTGATGGCCTTTAAACTAATGATAAATTATTTTGACAATTACTAATTGTATGATTTTTCCTGGTATGACATATCTTTTTTACTTACTGGTGTCGTACGAATGAGGAAAATTGAAGTTGTGACCCATTTCGTGACCAACGACGATGTATGGTCCGATAATGCTGCCAAAATCCCACTGAAACATTTATAGCTATGTCAAAAAAGGTTGTCGGATAAAATGGTGAATGTCAATGGTCGAACGTCGATTGCACAACCGTAAGTAGCCATGGGTTTTGCTAGTTGAAAGGCAATAGCAATTGATTTATACTGTAAGATGGTCTGTGATAACCATTAGCTGCAATTAGTCTCCATATATTTCTATGTAAGGTGAATCCAATAAGTGAAATTTTGTTTATCAAAATAGTGTAACCATAGTCCCTTTCGGTCGTGCAATCTGCCTTCGACAATCGCCGTTCGCCGTTCTCCCCGACGTTTTTTGAAATAGCTGTATACTATAGTGATTAGATTATATTCGTAATGATTGCAATCATAGATAGGAATTTATCCAAAGCAGTTTTTTAATGATACTAACATATTAAACAAGTCTGTGTCGGCAACATTTTCTTTACGAGTTCCTGATGGCTCCTAAAATTCCGTGTACACCTAATTTTGAAGCGCGATAATCGTCGCTTTGCTATCGCGCAACTCAAATCGCACGCGTAAACAGCCATGCGATTGTTGCGACGATGGAAAGTCGCTGCAAAGTTAATTGCAGACAATTTTCAAGCATGTTCGAAACCCAGGGGATGGTCGCGAAAATAGCTCTCCAAAAATCGCAAGTGTGAATGCGCCTTAGGCCTACAGTTTCATACGACTGGTTCTATCGTGGAACAGTAGATCGGATTTCGTACAACCTATGCAAAAAACAACAACAAAAAAACACGGCAACTTCGCGTCGTGGCCGTACCGTTCCATAGCAGTGAAGCTTTCTTGAATCTTTGTTTTTATTCGAAATCACTAGAAGGCAAAGTTCTGTGACCGTGCCGTTGTACAGCCATATGAAATCCTTTCTATTCTTGACTTTCACTGATCACGTGATAGTCTAAAAAAGCTATTTAGAGGCAAAATTAGCCAACTTTTATTATTGTTCTCGAGAGAACATCTTAATTAAAGGATCATGACGAAATTTAGAGCCAAAATAATGATTTTTAACAGAAATACAAGCGATCGAAAATTGGTAAGAATGTATGGGATTAGCACGGCTCAATGCGTTTTGGACTAGTCAAGAAATACCTACAAAAAGCTTTGTTTTAAGATTCAAATTAATTTTTTAAGTCCAAGGATCAAACAAGTATATAACTCCCAACAGTTATGCAAAGTTTGAATCAAAACTGTGATTTCCTAGCGAAAATATAAGCGTTTTAATACGGTCTTACTTTACAAAGAAATGTATGGGGCCGCCATGATTGTGCCCCCGTCAGGAGCATAAAGATGGCGGACCGTAACTACGAGCATCGAATTGAGCTCAAAACTAATGATTTTGCTTTAACTTTACAAACTATATCATTGTAAACATTTAAATTGATGCTGAGACTATAATTGTTTTAAGATTCATAGACTTTTCGAGTATTTTTGGCGTGTATCAAGTCGCGTGGCAGTATTACGTAACATATCTTTGAACGCTAATAACTCAACGAATAAACAGCAAAAAAAGTTTAAACATTCAGAGCGAACTTCTATCATGCTCTTCAAGATATTTCATTGCCACAATGTTGTGTGTCTGTGATTTTAGAATTTTGTTTCGACTGATGACGTCACGTGAAAGTCGAGAATA